TAGTTTAAAGGTTGGATCTTAAAGGTCTTTTCCAATATAAATAATTCTACGATTCTATGAAAGGGTAGTTAAACACTGGAATGGGTTGCCCAGAGAAGTGGTGGAGTCACCATCCATGGAAGTGCCTAGGAAACAACCAGATGTAGTACTAAGTGCTAAGGTTTTGTTGACATGATGTTGTTCAGTCAAACATTAAACTCAATCTTGGAGGTGTTTTCGAACCTTAATATTCTATGGTTCCGTGATTTGCATATGTCTGTCCCTCTTATCTGAAAATCATAGAATCATAGAATGGTTTGGGTTGGAAATGGCCTTTCACTAGATCAGACTGCTCAGAGTTCCATCCAACCTGGCCTTGAGCACTTCTGGGGATTAAGCATCCACAACTTCTTTGGGCAATGTGTTCCAGTGCCTCACAGTCAAGCATTTCTTACTAATATCTAATCTAAACCTACTCACTTTTAGTTTGAAGTCATTCCCCCTTGTCCTGTCACTGTATGCCCTTGTAAAAAGTCCTCCATCTTTCTTGTGGCTCCCTTCAAGTACTGAAAGACTGCAGTTAGGTCTCACTGGAGCCTCACTCTCTTATCTAGGTTGGACAAACCAAATTCTCTCAACCTTTCCTCATAGGAGAGGTGATAAATCCCCCTAATCATCTTGGTGGCCCTCCTCTGGGCTCATTCCAGCTGGTCATTGTCCTTCCTGTGCTGGGGACCCCAGAGCTGGATACTGGTACTGAGGAGTGCCCCAACCCAAGTGCAGGACCTCACACTTGTGTTTCTTGAACTTCACGAGGTTCCTCACTTCTCAAGCTTGTCCAGGTCCATCTGGATGGCATTCTGTCCTTCAAGGGGATGAAATGCACCACTCAGCATGATGTCATCTGCAAATTTGCAGAGGGTGCACTTGATCCCATTTTCTATGTCATTAATGAAGATGCTAAATAACACTGGTCCTAGTATGGACCCTTGGAGGACACCACTTGTCACTGATGAACACTGGGACTCTGAGCCATTGACTACTCACTACCTTTGGAATTTGAGCATTTTAATGAACCTACAGGCTACATTATGTTGTATTAGGCTAAAAGTTTTCTTATTTTCAAGGACTTTTATGCTTCAACATCTCTCCTCTTCAATCCACTGCAGATGCCCAGCACTGTTACTGTACTTCTACAGTTCTTTTTCAAGGACTTGTTTTCCTTGATACACATTTAAAAAATTGGTCTTATGACATAAACAGCCAGATTAGAAACTGAAGATTAATTGTCTAAAGAAATTATTTCTTTAGTAATAGTAGAAGAAACTTAAACTGAAAACAATTGTTTCTTTTTTCTTCATCTCATTTGACAGGCATCTTCAGCTGGATATCTTTCTTGAGTGCTATAACAACCTGCTATAAGAAATGTCAATGTTTATAAATACAATCAGAACATCAGATCACTTAACAAAATGCTAGTTATTAAGCAGTGAAGGTAGCTATTTTTACACTTCTAGAACTTTATTTTGCTCCATATTATTCAAGTGTGTCAGTGATCAAGCATGTCAGTGATGGGACTTCCCATTGCCCTCTCCTATTTTCTTGTTAAAAAACTAAACTAAAAACATGAATCTGAAATACAGGTTGTCAAATTGCATCTCTTCTGTAGTTTACACTTAGAGTGAGACCATCAAGACAGACAGATCTATCTGTATTAATGTAAAAAAAGTCTCTCCCAAACTGACTCAGATATCAAGCATGAGCATTTACATGTAAGAGAAGCTTACCCATTTCTGCCCTGTACATAAGTGAAAGATCCATTTCTTTTACTAGATAAATTAATCCAATTTCTTTCAACCAAATACCCTGCTTTTTAGAGAAAAGGGAATTGGAAACAAATTTATTTATAATATTAAAATATGCACATTGTACATGGATATATAAAACTGAGTGAAGTTTTTGTGTGTAATATTTCTGTAATGATCAGTAACTTTTTCTTCCTAAAAATATCAGGCATAATTTGTCTGCAATAAGCTTTTCTTTTAAATCCAATAACTTTCACTGGCAGTGAATGGGAGCCACCAAATGATTCACACAGTAAAATTTTCGGGGAATGTAAAAAATGATAGCAAGAAACAAAATAAAGATTTCTTTGTTAAATTCTCACTGGCAAATAGATGCATTTCAATGCTAAATATAATTTTTTATTAATTCAGCTAACTGAAATCTGATAAACATGAATTTCTGTATTGATCTGGTTTTAATGACATTGACCTGAAAGCGAATGATGTTTCGAATTGCAGTGATAAAAAACTGATTTCTGGCACACATGCAAAATTGTTTATTTTCAGGGTGACAATTAGACTCAACACCCACAAACAATGAGAATACATTTCAATATATTCTCTGTGCTGCTTAGGTCATGAAGTCAATCAAAAATTAACTTAAAGAAAACATTCCTTGGGTAAATCAATGGAAGTACCACTGAAATGTCATAGTAGCAGAAGAAAGCTTGGAGTCTTTCCATACTAATGTCTGATTATGTGGAACAATGTCAAGAACTCAACAGAGTGCTTGTCCAACTAGTATTTCTGGCCAATTTTCTTCTATCAAAAATATTTAAATGTAACTAGAAGAATTACCATTTAAGGAAATTCAGCATTTTATAGCATCTCATCTATTATTCATTGTGGAGTTTAGAGAGATTTTACATCAGAGAAGAGAGAAAATTCCATACGGTCATTACTAATAGAGTGTTATATGGTGATGCAAAGTATCAAACTGCCAGAAAAGAACAGCAGACCTTTAGGTTACATCAGAAATGGTACTGAAGGCCTGCCAGTGGTAGCTGTGCAGAAAATGAGACTGGCACCATATTTTTTTTTCTAGCTGTGGAAGCTGGAATCAAAATATGTAGTTCATTCCATCTAAACTGCTATCATCAGCTTTAAGGCAAGACTTTCAACTGGTTGGTCTCTTATCAGAATTAGTTTTGCACAAAGATCACTGCTGCTTACTTGTTCTTTCTAGTGGTGAGAAGAGATGGGTTGGGATCTCAAATGATATAATAAAGGTTCACATGGACCACCTTCGTATGAACTATTATCAGATATGTAGAAGTGGCAGAAGCTATGAAGGTGACACAATCAATTATCCATCTATGTTGTGCCTGCCATTTTGATTGTATAAACACAGTGGAACCTGATCAGTATGGAGAAGCTCTGCACTTTTATCTGTCACTTCATGTCGGGACATCTTATTCCTAAGAAACATAGACTCTTAAAGGAATCTTATCCACTAAATGCATTTAATTTTTGGTGAAATTGTCTCCAACTGCTTAAGAAGCCTAATGCTAATGATTCATGACTGACTACTATTCTTGCTGCTCTCAAGACAAGTGTGGGTAGCTTGCACTGCCACTATAGATAGATCCTATGTTTTTAAGTATGTAAATGAACATGACTATTTGTAATGTTTTTAGGCTTAGTGTTATTTGCAGTCACAAATAAAGTTACCTATGTTTTCTCACCCTTCACGTCACCATCTTTATGAAGAGGTTTGTGAATCACTAGGGGGATTTTTCAGAAGAACCATGCTTTCAGGTATGAGATTTATTACCCAGTAAGAGTCTTCTATATGAAAACAATTCTTTCACCTATATTCCCTCACAAGGACATCTAATGAATGAATGACCACTTTAACCTGCTAAAAGCATTTCCTATTCTATAAAGGATTTCCTATGCTAAAACCATGCTAAAAGGAATGAAAGAGCTGCATGTTTCTCCAAGAAAAAGAAGTAATGTTTGGGTTGTGTTCTTTAGTGGATGACTTGTGTCATCCAGGGAGATTTGAATGAATCTGGTCTCTTGTATTAAAAACCTGTTAATTCATCCTTGCCATGCACTATGTTAAGCAACTTACTCTTAACAGTTTCTTTTTCAATATCTTTAACACTCCTTCCACCTTGGAACTGGCGTTACCCAACTGCTTCCTGTGGCTTGGAGCTGGCACCACGGTTACTTAGCTGGAAGGAACCCCTTCTCCTTGGAATAAACTCCCTTCCCTCTGCCCCTGGCAATGATGTGAGGTGGTACAGAATAACCCTGCCATACCCTTTTCTGGCTGCTGCAAAAATAACTCTGTTCTGGCCAGAACCAGGACAGTTGCTCTTGGTAGAAAAAAAAAATCAGTATGATTTGTTCCTCTGAGAGTTCTACTCACTAATGCATCAAGTCACTTATCTTACAGCATGACAGGAGGCACATTTCATTTTTGCTAACTCCATCAAATATAAGAATCTAAAATAACTACTGCTGGAAAATGAGTTTACAAGAGGACCTGGAATGGACACTGGGACCACGCAAGTTTAAGTTTATAAATCAAATGCATAGATAATTCCTTCTGAGAGTGCATTGATGCACAGTGTTTCAAAAGATACTGAGAATGAGTTCTTTGGAACTTATTTTTATCACTATTTATTCTTTCTCAAGTAAAGTCATTACTTGTTGGCATACATGGGGACAAATCCATAATAACAGAAAGTGACTCAAATGGACAGTGAAACAAATAACTGTCCTAAGTTAAAATATGGTTATCAGTATTTCAGTTTCTAGAATAAATAAACACAATAAAATAGAATAAAATTAATAATAATTTTATATAAAAATAAATAAATATAAATATAAAAAATGTCTAAAACTGTGTACAAATTCATAACCAATAATATTTTTATCTATTAAAAGATCACAGAATGTTATTTCTAATTCTTTTTATGTTTAAATATAGCATTTTTTTCAAGTAAACATTTCATAAGAATCTTTCATGCATACACTACAGTACATGTAACTGAACTAACATAATGGAGTGCTATGAGTTATTAAATTAATGAGTCATACTGAGGAAGATATACATCAAAGGCTAACACACTTTCTGATATGAGAGCATGCATTAGTGTGTTACTTTAGTTGCTCTGGTACATGGCAAGACAAAATCTGCACTAACAATGTTAACTTGTAACATACCTGTCTCTGAGTGTGGAAGGACTGACACCTACATCACTAGAATTTCTGGTTCAGGCTCAAAGTTGATATAAATAATGAAGAAATTTAGATGTCAGGGAGCCATTCTAAATGGTTGAATGACAACAGAAGTTACTCTAGCTTTCATGCCTAAATAAGAAGGGTGGAGTTGTGAAAGAAAAAGAAATTAACAGAAATGTTACAAAAATAAGTAAAGTTAGGACTCTATTATGTTTCTTGATCTTTATTTTATTGTACACACATCCTTCTGGATGGTTATCATTGACTTCCATTAATTTATTGATTAACTAATTATAGCACCACTTTCATTTTCTCTGTATACAGTCAGAGATGCATAACCTTCTTTGTAATATACAAAACTGATGTCTGATCCCCTTTTTTTTAATTGAAACAGTAACAACAGTCTTGATTCTTACTGATGGGTTTGTTTACACTAGGGTCGTGAGATAACTTGAGCCAAGTATGTGCGGGTGTGAGATCATGCATGTTCACATTCAAGTTGATTTGCAGCAACCAATGCATAAATAGATGCTAAATAAAGGAAGAACAAGACAGACCTTAGAGAACTGAACATTTCTAGGAATTGTTGTGATCTGCCACGTACATAGTGCATTAAACATTTTCCTCTCTTCATTTCCTACTCCTATGTTTTCCTAAAGCTAATATATGCTATGGCAGACTTGTATAGTGCAAATAACAAAAAAAGATTATAGACTGGAGAGTCTATAATCTATCTAATCACAGCTCAGTTGCTCATCTGGTGAGCAGGGTGATAAAGGAAGGATTCATACGTTAAGATATTATGGAATCCGAAGACCTGGTTTCTCTTTCTATTTCTTTGGAAGATTTTACACTCAATCTTCGGCATATCATTTTGGGTTTGAATCAATGTCAAAGTAATGACAATCTTTATTTCTTGGTGCTAGAAGTTGTGTTGTAATAGAGACGGGTAATGGTGATGAAATTGTACCAAGGAGCTCTTTTGCATTTGTAGTGATGTGCTTTGATAACCCCGGATGTCAGAAAGTATAGAAATGCACATGATAAAATACATTTTATCATCTGCTAAAGGACATAATTTGTTTTAAGAAAGGCTTTAAAGAATTGCAGTGAAAATACATGTTGAAAAGAAATACTAATTCCAGTTCCCAGCATATTTCTGATGCCTGAAAGAAATTTGACAAAGAAAAAATACAGATATTTTCTTTCATTTTCAGTTTCTAGTAGAAATGCCATGGTGTGATATGATGCATAAATGCTTAAACTACAATAGATATTTGAAACTTATTGACTATATGTTTGCATTCATCCTTTATCTTTCCACATGCATAGGAAATAATATGATGATGACTCACAGAGTAGAAAAAAATGGGTAAAGTCCATAATGTTTCCAGTCTTTATATTTTAAAACTTTTTCAGCTTAAGAAAATGTATAGAGTGCCTTAAAGAATCCTTAAATATATTACTTTAAAACATTCTAAAATTCTCCAGAGCAGAATATGCAGAATCCTTTATTTCTATGTTGCTGCACCAAAAAACACCTAAAAACTTGATGGATAAAAAAAATTTATAAATACAAACATTATCATCACACCTCCCATAAAGTCTCACCCTCAGCTGCACTTGTAAAACAAAAGAACGGAAAGAAAACTGCATAAAAAGGAGGAATTCATAACTCTTAAAAGAAAAGATATTTTCAAAACAAATATTGAAACATATTTCAGTTAAGATGAAATCATTGTTTTAGTATGTCATCAAAGCCAAATTCTCTCCTGAAAAATTACTTTAAAGCAAAGGTTCATTTTTTTGGTAAGACAAATGGTTGAAGAAACTGTTTGTGTACATTTAAGGCTTTTGAAGCACCTTTACTGGTTTTTTTTTTTTTACTTTTACAGTTTTGAAGAGGCTTTACTGTTACTAAACTTAGCAGAAATATTTACTTTAGTGAGAACGATCAACACTAGGCCAGGATTAAATGCTTCAAAACTTCCATTCTTATTATCTGTCTCCATTCTTCCTTATAAATATGTTTTTGAGAATCTAGTTTTCCATCTCGATAAATCAGACTGTGCTAATTACAATTTTCCCATTTTCTGTGAGAAATCAACAACTAAAAAATACTCTTAAATACGTGAAATTAATATTGTGGAAGGTATGCATGGCTAGTTTTGACTTGCTGCATAAAACCATCTTGCACATGAGTTTTCCATGCATATAACTGCAGCGTAAAAGACGACATTATGAGAAAGCTTCTGACAAATTGATTAATAATCTTGAGCTGCTGAAGTTCAGCTGAGTGAGCAATTAAACATTCCAAACAGCAATGAACCTTCAGAGATAATTTATGATAATTTTATGCACAAGAGCTCAGTGGCTTTTTAATTTGATAGAATGTTAGTAGCATAGATTTCTAACAAGGGAGTTTCAGTGCTCCATACATCACTGAGATTACTTAAACATTTCAAATGTGGTTGATGAATGAAGTTTCCTGAGATGTGAAAAGATACAGAAAGTGTCAGAAGGTTGAGATTATTCATCATATCAATTATTGAAAGTGGATGCGTTGACATCATACTCCCAGCTCATCTTTTATGGCCATTATAAAGACAGAACAGAAATAACAGACTTGGTGAACTGCAGAACTGTCAGGATGTCCGACTTCTTCCCTCTCTTATTCCAGCACTTTGCTGTCACCACACAATTTTAGCATTTCCAGGTATTTCTTCAAAAGTCATTCATAATATATAGCAGGAAAACAAGACCCTTTGAAAATCATTGAGTAATACCTGGAACGTAGTATATGGTGTGATTCTTGAGGTGTAGAGTCAGGAAGTGGACTTTGATGATCCTTGTGGGCCCCCTCCAACTCAGGATATTCTATGATCCTATGGGAAACATCCCATACAGATCAAGAGATAAAAGGGAGGTTAGACAACACGAGTTTACAATTAAATTGCCAGAAATAAAAATACTGTGTCATTTTCTGCTGAAGGAGAGCAGGCTTCCCTTCATTCTTCCACATATTTTTTTGCTCTTTTTGTTGCTTAAAAAAAGCTGCATTCAAACAGTCAAATATTTTTAATTCGTAGAATATTTCCCATTCATTCTTTTATTTTTTGTTTTGGCAAGTAAAATATAATGTTTTAATCTTGTGTTTCTGAGATACTCATGACTGTTAAAAACACACTAAGCTAATCTAAAGTAAATAATGCAAAGGAGCTCTTTTTTTAATATGAGCAGAGATAAAGACTGCTTTGAACAGAACACTGAAGCACTCAGATACCACATTTAAGAGAACAGACAGTTGGTGAGTTATTTGGTTTTAACACTACTATAATGATCCTGACAATAAATCATCATTTCACATATCCAAACAATTATCCTTTCATCCATGAAAAGAACAGAACGCTGGAAAATAAAAAGCTAAAATGGGCAAAAACGTTGCTAGAAGCCTGTTACTTAAACTCCTTCAAGTGAAAGGTCATGTCATTGGTATAAAGCACTATTAGTCAACATACTCCTCAAGCTTAGGAACTATGCAGACAGCTTGGAGAGTGATAAGTGGGAGAGTGAGAGGTTTGCATGAACCTTGTGGCTTCAAATTCAGACTAGAACTATTAGTCTCAGGCTAATGAAAACAGTTTTCTGACCCTCTATGTGTCTTCAACATTATTATTTCAAGGGATGACTCCAGTACACCTCAAACTGCAGTACCAGCACCTATCAACATAATTGAAAGTCTCCCACCCTTGAAGAAGGCAGTCAATATTGGCTGAAGAATCATAGAAATTCACAAAAGTTCTAATATAAAATAATAAATAATAAATAAATAATAATAAATAATAATAATGGCCAGTCTTCGTGAGCGAAGATCCGGGGAAGGTCTTTACACCTTCCAGCCTGCGCATTGGATTTTTTAGGTGAGACACAGTGTGCGCGGAACTGAGCCCACCCTTTAATCCTAAGGTTCATCTGCCAGGGCCAAGCGAGCTTGGACGGTGGCAGCGAGGTCCTTAGGACGTAGGTGGGTTGCCTTTAAGGGCTAACGAGCTCCATCTGGCCCGGGGAGTGTCCCTGACCGGGAATCGAACCACGGCCTCGGCGGTGACAGTGCCGCGCCCTTACCACTAGACCACCAGGGGCTCCCATACAAAAGTTCTACAGACATGATAATAAACTTCCAGAACTCTCACTAGGCGTCACTGAACAAATGCAACAGAGCTGGCAAGAAGCTTCTGTGTCCACCTACAGACAAGTAGGACTAAACTTGCAGCATTGAGGTTATCTTCCTTGGAAAGCTTTCTTCAGCTGAGTCAAGAGTTAGTTCCAGTCACATTTAAATAAAGAGAATTCTTTTCCTAATAGGATACCAAAATAAGTCCAAACACTGATCATGGAGGAAAACTAACCTAAATATCTTCTTTTCTGTGAATCTCTGCTTCTCTTAAATCCTTTGTCTGAAACAGTCTCTGATTGTTTTTTTTTTTTCTTACTCAAAAGGGTCAAATTTGGTAAGAATACTGGGCACAGATGTAAAATACTCCCATGTATAAAGTTATAGTTCTACCACAGGTATAGTTCATACCCTCTGTAGTTCCATGTTCACAAATTTCCATGACAATGCCTTATGGAATGCAAAAGAGCCAAAACTGGTGTAAATCCAGAATCTATATAGGCTTGCACTTCTCATTTTAATGCACACAAATAGTACTTGGAAAAAAAAAAAAAGGTTCACCTGCCAGCCTCCTGACACAGGGACATTAGGACAACATTTTCAGTCAAGTTCCAGTACAGTTGTTTACTCTTGATGATATTTCTCTCAGTTACCCAGAAAAAGCTTCAAAACTGGTCTCTCTTCAAAATGTTAGTGAAGAATGAGCATCTCTAAGACTTTCTGAGAGTCAAATTAGGGGAGACTATTTTTATTCTCACAATTTTTTTTTAGCTAAAACAATGTGTATAAAGAAAGAATACTTAAAATCTTTTATCTACAAAATTAATTAAGAAAATTATAGGAAAAGTGCAATTCTCATCTTAAAATGTGTCCTGACATATGGAAAATAAATAAAATCAGGAGAAATTAGAAGAATAAATAAAATCTCTAATAGAGAAATGTTAGACCTGCTTTCAGTGTGTCATTGCAGCCCTACTTACAGAGACTCTTTTGATGCTTTCATAAAGTGCCAATCAATGCTCAAAAGTAGAACTATTTGTTTGTATTCTTGAAGAGAGGTATGCAAAACAATTCTGAAGTCCTCTTTTACTAATATATGGTAATGAAAGTGAAATATTAATAATATAGTCAACAGTACTATAGATATGAAAAGCAGTGAATATCTAAAACTTGTACCTATAATACTCTTCTGACAGTAATATTATAGTATGTAGCTTTTGGCAGCTACATTTGTTATTTTTCAGGCAAAGCTGGCAACAACTCAAAGAAAGGAAACATTGGGCAAACTCCAGCAGCCCTTTCTTAGGCAAGATGTCTATTTAAATGCAAGATTTAACTTACCCTTTAATAGGATAAAAATGGATTATGAATGGGGCATCTTAAACTTCCTGCAAAATAGGATGGTCTCCTTGTTTGCACTATTTAATGTTTTGATTTCCCATTCATTGCTGAGGCTGTAATGAGCATCAGTTATTACATCGTGGCTCAGTTCCAACATAAATCATTTAACCTCCCCCTTTTTATTGATTTATATTAGCATTTATGGATGACACTCATTGTCTTTATAGAGCCTGAGATCTCACATTAATTAAGTTCAAATTAAAACAAACAATTATATCCACTACGGATTGTTGAAATATCCTTCAAGGTTTCTTGCCGCATGCCTATATTCAGTTTAGACCTCATATCATTGCCATTCTAAAAATTCTAACTAGACAAACCAAATTAAATTGAACAATTAAACACAGCAAAAAAAGAAGAGCAGGGTAGGCTGAACATGAGCCAGCTGAACATGAGCCAGCAGTGTACCCAGGCAACCAAGAAGGCCAATGGTATCCTGGCCTGTATCAGGAACGTGTGGCCAGCAGGAGCAGGGAAGTGATTCTTCCCCTGTGCTCAGCACTGATGAGAGCACACCTCAAGTACTGTGTCCAGTTCTTTTAGGAAGGATATTGAGGTACTGGAGCAGGTCCAGAGAAGAGCAACCAGGCTGGTGGAGGGACTGAAGCACAGTTCCTGTGAGGAGAGGCTGAGGGAGCTGGGATTGTTTAGCCTGAAAAAGAGGAAGCTCAGGGGAGACCTCATCACTCTCTACAACTACCTGAAAGGAGGTTGTAGCCAGGTGGGAGTCAGTGTCTTCTCCCAGGCAACCAGCAGTAGGACAAGAGGGCATGGTTTTAACTGCACCAGATGAGGTTTGAGTTAGACATTAGGAAGAAGTTCTTCACAGACAGAGGGATTGGGCACTGGAATGGACTGCCCAGGGAGGTGGGGGAGTCACCATTCCCTGGAGGTGTTTAAGAAAAGACTGGACAGTCTAGTTAACAAGGTCATGTTGGGTCATTGGTTGAACCTGATGACCTCAGAGCTCTTTTCCATCCTAGTTGATTCTGTGATCCTGTATTCAGTCTTGAAATTACTATTGAATGGGTTTGCCAAAATTATAGCATCAATATTGTATCATATATCAGTCTTTTTTTTTTTTTTTTTTTTTCCCCAGTAGTATATGTAAGCCTATCTAGCTCGGTAGTATCTTTCCTCTAAAAATATTTTAAACATAGCTGGAGAACATTACACTGTATTTTTCTGTTTCCAAGACCTCCACTGTTTTTGGATGCACAGTAAGTCTGAGTTTTTGTTTCGCTCTCTGGAGACAAATTTATACCTTCCTTCCAATACATTCATGTAATTCTCAATCAACTCTGTTGATTTAATCCCACAACTATATTCAATGGTAAATGGTAAGCATTCTGTACAATAGCATAAATATGGATGCTATGAGAAGTTTTTTCCAAGCCATGAATGGCAATCTTCACATGCTGCAGGAACAGAAACACGGACTATAGTTATTCTTTGTTAACTAGATCTCTGATGAACTATTTTCATCTTGCACAACAACTATCAATATATAAGTATCATAAATATTACATAAATCTAGAATATTACAGAAGTATTATAAATATTATTATAAAAATGGTCCTCATGAGCATTTTTCTAACTTGAACATTAAAAGTTAATTCAAATTCAAAGATCTCACATCATTGAAACCTTTCATGAATACTTTCTATTGATTTAAACTGAAACCCTCACCTGGATGTATTCTGACAATATTAAGAAATGTAGGATGCAGACACCAACTGGTTTTAAGGCAGCTAAGTCTTAAAACAGTTGTCTAAAAGATATATCTGACTCTCTGCCCATAAATCTAGTCCTAGTGCCAAGCCTGGGCAGAGATCTCTGTCACAAGACGTGCTGAAGCCATTGTTGGAAAGAGTAGGTGGGAGAGATTGCCCATATTAGCCCACAGTGCTACTATGGCTTGGCCAACTCTTTGCAACTCCACTCTTTTCATGGATCTCATAAGTTTTGCTCCTCCTATAGCCCTAATCATAAGTGTCGGTGGACACTTTTGTAGTAAAACATGCAGAAGATCCTTGTGAAAAAGATGCAATTGGGAGAATTCTCACAGAAGACCCACTTTTCTCCCTCGATCTTTTTGCAGCACTGCTCTTTCTATGGGTCTTTTATCTCTCTCAGGGAACAATAGGGGCAATTGCTCCTTAGCAGAGAAAGGAGAATTTGGAAGCCAAGCATCACAGCATGGCAGGCAAAAGCTGTGGCCTCACCCACACAAGGGCTTAGTCCTGTCAGGAATTCAGCCCATGGGTTAGGGTCAGAGTCCAGATCAACAGGGTACAATCCCAGACACAGGCATGGCTACAGAGTAGCTCAATGCAGTCCATAGACCTGCCAAACATGAGAGCCTCTACTTAATGCAGCTGCCAGCAGGGGAAGTGGGAACTCCTCCTGCAGCTTCTTCCAGCTCTTCATTGGAGAACTGTAAGGTCAGCTGTGGCTTCTTCAACAGGTCTCACCTGTCAGAGCTATTCTCCCAAGAGGAGGGATTGTCCTCCTAACTGACCCTAAGCCTTGAAGGAAAATTCTGCCACAGGATATACTGAAGCCCCAGAGGAAAGTCTGAATTTGGAAGATTTCTCATAGCAGCCCACATTTTGTTTTGCCCTTTCCAAGGTCACCAGCTTTCTCTTTCTCCCAAACCTAAAGCTAGTATTAACCATGGTCTCAGAGATTTTAGTACATTTTTCATTAAGTATTTCTGCTAGTCCTTGAAAAGTAACTATTCTTTTAAAAAGACATAACTAAATAAAAGACTCCACTTTCCTTATCTATATTATCTTTTATTATTGTTTTAAATTAAATATAATCTATGTATATGATTTCTGTGTGTTATGTGTGATCTTTATTTCCTGATAGATTATGCTATACTTTCATCATTGTTTTACCCTCAAAGTGATCTGTAGAGTGTTCATTACGAGATCTCAGTTTTCAGAATAACACAGATTTCCTACTGTGATTCAGTAGTTTCATGCAAAGACCAAAATATTGATCTGATTATTTTAACTGCTTCTGCACAATAATGAGGTAGTTAGTGTAAAACAGCTGTTCAATCGTATAAACCAAAGTTGTATTTCTAATTTGGATTTTGCAACCTCTATTTAAACTTTATTTTAGGCTTACATGTTTGTCTTTATCATGATTTTTCTTTAATCAGTTATTCTGATTATTTTACTTATCCTTGTAAATAATTTCTAACCAGTAAGTTATTCTGGTTTTACTGCAGGAAGGGGGACATTATAAACTTGATCAAAAGCCATGGAAGTTAAACAAAAATTCCAGCGTCAGTACCAATGAGAAATTATAATTTTACTTTGTCTTTTTTTTGTTTTTTTTTTTACAATGCTGGTAATTGATCCCATTTCATTCTCTTGGACATTTTGTTACTCCATGTGAAGGAATTCAATTGTGCTGTCTAATTGCTGTTGGTTTACTAAGTGACAAAGTATTGTTTCAGTGATAAATACTTTGATAGAATAAAACTTAACACATTATACAAATACTTCTCTGAATTTTATTTTTAGTTTTAGCACACATTAATGCCAGTAAAGCTTGATTGCCTCAGTGTCTGCAGAAATGAACACAAAGGAACTGTCAATACTTCTGAATCCAGCTCATTTTAAAACTAACATCATGAAAGTACAGATAGTTTTTTGTACTACTCTAAATATGATTTTTTTTCCTCAGTAAGGACTGGCATGAGGTTACAGATTTGCAGCTTCAAGAAACATAGCTTCTGTTTTGAAACCCTGGTTAAACACTTTAAACACCTGAGTAGTCTTACTCAGATCGATAATTCAACTGATTTCACTTTAAACTCAAGACTACCCTTCTGAGTAAAGTTGTGCAAGTACTGTCAAGACAACCTTGTATTTGTGGTTCTGAAACAGTTTAACACCTCGTTTTACCTTTTAAATGCTAAAGGAAAACTTTGTGAGATTATTAATTTTCAATAAAAAACTTAAGCAAATGGCTTTGTTTTCTCTTTGAACCAATAGATGTATTTTATAATATATTTATTCTGGACTTCTGTAAAGCCTTTGACACAGTCCTCAACAAAATCCTTCTCTCTAGACTGGAGAGGCATGGATTTGATAAGTGGACCATTAGATGGATAAGGAATTGGTTGGATGGTCACATCCAGAAGGTAGTGGTCAATGGCTCAGCATCCCAGTGGACATCAGTGACAAGTGGTGACCCTCAGGGGTCTAAATTTGGAGCAGTGTTATTTAATGTCTTCATTAATGACATAGATGAAATGATCGAGGGTACCCTCAGCAAATTTGCAGATGACACCAAGCTGAGTGGTGCAGTCCTGAAGGATGTGATGCCATCCAGAAGGACCTTGAAAAGCTGGAGAAATGGGCCCATGGGAACCTCATGAAGTTCAGCAAGACCAAGTGACAGGTGCTGCTCCTGCATCAGGACAACAGGTTGGGGGATGAACAGATTGAGAGCAGCCCTGCTGAGAAGGGTTTGCACATGCAGGTGGATGAGAGGCTGGACATGATCCAGCAATGTGCACTTGCAGCCCAAGGGAGGGTATTCTTCCCCTCTACTCTACTCTGATGAGACTACACCTGGAGCACTGCATCCAGGTCTGGGGCCCCAGCACAGGAAGGACATTGACCTGTTGGAGTGAGTCCAGATGAGGGCCATGAAGATAATTAGAGGGATGGAGCATTTATCCTACAAGAAAAGGCTGAGAGAATTGGTTTTGTTCACTCTGGAAAAGAGGAGGCTTCAGGGTGACCTGATTGCAGCCTTCCAGTACTTGAAGGGAGCCTACAAGAAAGAAGGAGAGAGACTATTTACAGGAATGTGTAGTGACAGGACAAGAGGGAATGGATTCAGACTTATTAAAAGTAGGTTTGGATTAGATATTAGGAAGAAATTCTTTACGGAGAGAGTGGTGAGGCCAGGTTGCCCAGAGAAGCTGTGGATGCCCCATCCCTGGAAGTGTTCATAGCCCAGCTGGATGGAGCTCTGAGCAATCTGATCTAGTGATTGCTCATCCAGTATGACCAATCATACTGGTCCATGGCAGGGAGTCTGGAAGTAGATGATCTTTAAGGTCCCTTCCAACACAGGCCATTCTATGATTCTAGGATAACACAGATATAATTAATTTTACAATGTATTTTTATGTAGAATACAAACAGAAATACAGAAAAATATAGGATATGCAGACTGCAATAGTTCTGTAATTGCTAAGATTACTGAGCCGAGAATGACAGAAATTCTCAAAGAATTCTTTCGAAAGCCCAGGTGAATACATGAAACAAAGCATATTACTTTGTATGACATATTCCTGATGTGAAGGAGAAGAAAAACTCATGGATATCAGTAACAAAACTTCTCTTAAGCTCACTTATTTCAGGATAACATCCTAAATAGCAAAATTTTAATTAAAAAGATGTGAGAGAGTTTTTTGCTTCATTTGGGATGCCTAACAGAGCAATCAAAACAAAAAAAAAAAAAGGCAGCCAGAAAAGAAGAAAAAAATCAAGCTATTTCTCTGTTAGTGAACAGAACAGAGTGATTTAAGAATGGACCTTATAGAGGATGAAGGGACAAATTGTACAATGGACTTACAGAAAGGAAAAAAATTTTAAGGAGACAGGACAGATTAAGGACAATTTCCTTCAGTCCCTGCTATAAGAATCTAAGACACAGAGTGATGTTCACAGACAAAGTTAAAAAATATTTAATTACCACATACCTATCCAGACCTCACCTTCATAGAAGATAGTGACACCACCACTATGCACACATATAAAACCATATCTGTTAGTAATACTCAGATTTTCCACACTGTGTTTCCACTACCTGTATTCAGTTGACCTCTTGATGTGAGACGCACGAGCTGGGAGTCAGATCCCCAAAAGGCACCTGTTCAGAAGAGAGACATACAGTGGTTACCTTGGCAACTGACACAAATGAAAGTTCTCAGAAGATTTTTTCTCACATAGTTGTTTTTTCTGCTCATAGTCTTGTTCCCATGTATACATAGGTTCAGGCTACAAACTTTTATCAATCAAACTACTGCTGCAATGTTTCAACTCTGACTTTTATTCTTTTCTTCTTCCCAGAAGCTTATGATTTGCTGATGAATGGAGAAACTGGTAACTATCTGACAGAGCATGATGCTCCTCCAGAAATATACAAACCTCTGCTGAAACTTTAGAGATCATTTACATGAAACTATGAAGAAGGAAAAAGGTTTACATTGCTAGTGAAGAGATGCCTATACACATTTGCAAACAGAGAACTGCTTAAATCAGAACCCCAAATTGAATCTTACCAAATATTTTGACTTAACATATACATACATGTATGCTTAATATTAAAAATTGCATTATTATTAATTAGAGTCAAAGTACTTTATAATTATTAAGTATTAGCATCTCTATTTCACAGGCACAGAGAATGACCCCAAACCTGTAATATAAGTTATGCTACTTAAAATTTCCTCATTTTGGAACCAGTCTCATTTGGAATAAATTTTGCATCTTATAAATTGCTGTCTTATTACAACAAAAATTTATTACTCATCTGAAAGCGTCATATAAGCAGAGTGTTTAAGCAGTGGATTATATATTTTATCATGTATAAATACTACTATAATCAGAAATTTTTAGATAGAAGAAATTACTCTTCATCAAAAATCCAACAAGGGACAAGTTTGGAAGGTCGCTTTTTCATTTAACCCCCTGCAGTTCCTTCTTCCAGATTAGTTCATGTTATATTGGTTGGACATAATTATGCTCTTTATCACATTTAAAAAACACAAAGCTATCTCATTTTCACCAGTACAGTAATTGGTCTAGAAGCAAATCGAAAAGCCATTGCATTTATTTGGTGATCTTACTGTGTCCTCAGTGAGTGAAGAATCACTTTACATGATACCTATTTCTTCTATTTTATCCCCCAAGCAGAAATAATACCTTGAGACCCTAGTGGACTTTTCAGTTCTGGGAGGGTCTTGCATTCATATTTCTGAACCACAATCAGGAGCTTTTTGTGTGTCTTCTCCTCTGGGCTGCTGATACTGGTAGCTAATGGTGCTAATAAACCTCATCCTATTATGAGACATTAAAATATTATCTCCCACAAACTCTTATATAAGACCACTGAGGGTGTAAACCAGGGCCTGTTGTATTAGTAGAAAGTTTCCTTCATTTTACCTAGCTTTGACATGGGTTTTCTTCTTCTGCAGTTTCTACTGATTCATTGCACTAATCAGGATACTTTTTTTTTTCTGTCAGTACAGGTGAAAACATAGAAAATGGAATACTGTCTTCCTTATAAGTGAGCACTATTTGTAATGGAAAATACTGGAAATGCAAAACTGTTTTCAAAGTACTTGAACTTGAAATAACAAGTATTCGATAGGGTTGTTCTGCAACTATTTATTTTGTTTTGAATTCTTAGTTCCCTACCTATCTCCTTCTGTCTCATTTTTTTTTTAAAGTATTCATCACTAAATTGTAAACCTGGCCTCGATAGTGTTCCTGCTCTGCTTTAGTTTTCAGCACAATAACTACACTATTTTACAGTAAGGCTAAATGTGAAGGATAGGTAATAATTTGTCACTGTTTCAAGTAGAATTCAGGGGCAATTGTGATTTGGGCTTCCAACTTAAAATGTGATGTATAATTGACATTTTGATACTTCGAGGCCATGGTGTATTCTCACACTTCCATGAAAAAAAACCCAACTTGCTGACACAATCAGGAAACAGATGGTGACAAAGATCTTGCATTTAATATGCCAATCATTATGCTTTACTTGCATATTATCATCTCATTCATGAGGCCACTATATGAAGGAATTTTGCTATGCCTCTACAAATCAATCAAGAAGTCTTTTAGTATTTTTTTAAAATATAATTTAGGTCTTTCTTATCCTTTCTATGTTTCATTATATTTGGGGTGAAGTGTTTATGCAAATTTATTACACATGAAAAAATGCTTTGACAATACTGAGGCTAGAATAGATGTCAGCAATGAAGCATTCACTATAGATAGCTTCAAAAGAGAGACCAAGAAATGACTTGGCAACTGAAGTATCTGCATTTTCTGTACTTTGCTGTGGTCCTTAATCCAAAGGCAGTGACATAATAAGACACTATGAAGGATGATGTTGAGTAGGAGGATGGATTTGGTAACATGGCCTCATATCTACTAAAACCTGGACTTCAGTCAAAATTTCTGCTCAAGAAAACCACAGATGGCAGATTACCAATATATTTCAGTTAGAGTTAGCACTGGATTTGAAATCGGTGAGTATTTGACCTAGGCAGACCTTTTAGCTCTGAAAATAGGCAGTTTCCTCGAGAGCGTCTGACAGAGTCCCATCATACAGGAGTAAATTCATTCACTCACAAACTGGTCAAAGACCCTTCTTGGACAGCCTGAGGTCCTCTGAAGATGTTTTAGCCCATTATTGCAAGTGGTGAGCATGGGCTGGTTCTTTCATCTTCCTTCTATTCTGCAATGTCCAGACAAAGCTTTTTCCTTCATAAGTACCAACTCCCTGTTTATATTTAGAGGGAGTTGGGATATAGTTGGCATGATTTTTTTTTCTGTCTCACTCCTACTGTCTATCTATAGGTTCCCTAGCTTCTAAAATGTAAATATTTCCTTTTAAAGAAGTAAAAAATATTTCTGGTTCTTTGCAAAAGGATCAACCCTAGCAAGAGCACACAGCATGTGACTTAGAACTGGGACTTCTGTCATCCCTATTTTGTTCTATTTCTTTCATCGTATGGTATTATTCACTTAGCTAAGCATGTTTGTGGTTTACAAAACCAGAAATCCTCAAAGTCGCAATTCTGTGTTCCTTTTAAATTGGTTAAGAACAAACAAACACCAAAAAAACCCACCAAACCCAATACAGCATTGTGTAACAGTTAAGCTGCTCTTAAACACAGGGTCAGATTTATTATTTGTTTTATTACTTATCAAAGACAGTGGCTTACACACCTTGCATTATCTAGACAGCAGTCTCTTGGGATGTCAAAAGTCAAGGTTACATCAGCTCTTGACTTTATCCAGGCTCCATGATGTACAATGTCAGTGTAGCAGAGCACTTCCTCTTTGTTCTGAGGGAACTTGATTCATAATGAGTCCATCTAGAGTGTACTTAGATTGCGATAAAGAGCTTTACACAGAGAATCTTATTTTAGAGAAACAGGTGTTGGTTTTGATTAGAGAAAAATTACATCATCCAAGAGAAAGGACAAAAAGAAAAAGCAAACGGAAAAGAAGGCAAAAATAGAAAAAAAATGGCAACCAGACACAAATACATTTGCACATATAAAGCTGTTCTAATGAAAGCCAAATTGATTTGACATTCAGTGGCAGTTTGAAGCCAAAAAAAGCAAAGCAGCCTACAAAAGGCCCAGCTCATTGTTTATGGAGTGTCATACTTCATCATTTGTGAGACCAATAACAGTGATGGGAAGACCTTTAAAAGCAGGGAGTTTGCTCAGAACGGCTGTGTGGATACCGCTGATGTCAGATGCAATTGAATGATTGTGAGCTATTTCCTGATTTGAAATCATATTTGCCAGATGAAGTAGATGTTTTCTACAGATTATATCTTTGACAATAGAATTTAGTACATTCTTAGAATTCTTGGCTGATTTCTGCTAGGCAAACACAGAATACTTACCTTTTGGTGGGTACTGATCATCAAACTGCCCTGAAGAAAAAAACACAGAAGAGAAAAAATTATGCAACATGCAAATGCAGTTTCCAGTACATGAAAATTAATCTCTTTATGAAAAAGAACTTTGCACAAAATCATGTAAATTTATGTAGGCACCCTTTCATTATCCTTATTTTCATAGATTACTTTGCAAATATTTTTACAAACAAAATTTTTTACATTTTTCATTAGAATAATGGACCACTATTACTAGCAGACTGCAGAATATATTTCGTCCATCTCTGTTTTCAGTTAGAACACCTGGTGAGGAGTGACATGTTTATCAAATGCTGGTGAATGCCAACATGAATTAAATAAGCCTTCAAAAAATGTGAGATACTATAGACTTGTGCAGGAAAGGATATGTGTGGAAAGCAGTCTCTCTCTTTCTGCCTTCTAGCTATGATCTCAATCTAGATATCACAATATTGATATTAAATTCTGATACTAATGTTTCTGTTTAGATTTCACTAGAAAATCTGTTTCTTCATTGGGGAAAAAATTAGGAATTTCAGCCTCCTGGGTCTCAATTCTTTAATGACTCACTGAAATGCAAATAGTCAGTGATCTCAAACTAGCAAGTCATAAATCACAATGCACATATTGTATCTAGTGTGGCCTCATAACTCAAAAAGCACTATCAAGGTGACCAAACTTACTATGGATGGCACAAGTATAGACAAAAAAATTAAGATAGACAATATACATGTGGGTAGGTCTAATTGCATAAAAAAAACATTTTATTTCATTCACATTGAAAACAAAAATCAGTTTAACTTGTGTGTGTGTGTGTGAACCTTCCATTCTGTTTCATGGAAATGTCTGAATCTGTGAGCTTATTAGCATGACCACCCACCACAATAAATAGAACAGCAGGTCAAAATTTTTAAATATTCACAAACAGCCAAAATTATGTCTATATTAAATATTGTGCTCTGTGACATATGAAAACAGTGTACATTGTTTATTAATTGTGTATGCAGATATAATTCCTGCTGTATTAGCTTTGCATTGTAAATCATATGATTTAGTTTCTTTTGTCATATTTAGGAAAATTATAAGCCATGCTGGAATAAATTACAAATTTGTAATATTGCAAGATAGGTTTCAAATTTCACTCTGTGATAGTATCTAGAGATTCAAGGCCATATCTATTCCACCACATCCTTGACTTCAGTTTGCAGGAGAAATGGGGTTGCTCTGTGTCTAACAACCACAGCTTTAATAGTCAGTCGGGAGTCCTCCACTGATGGCAATTAATTCTACTGAATTACATACTATAGTGCAGACGGCACGATAAGCCCTTCAACAAGTGTATTTCACTTTCCTCAGGCTGTAAGTGTTCTCAGGGATAATTGTGTTGTGAAAAAAGTAAACAGGAAATCAGATAGTGAAGACTGAAGAAATGCATCGCTACCAAATTTTGTTAAAACATTTAAGATGTTACCTTTTAGGATTCAGTGTCAGAATTATAACACCACAGAAGTGAATGCAAGCAATTTACATTTTCCTTAGAGCTATTGTTTCACACTGTCTGAAGATTCAGGCTATGTCTTTCACTGTTGAGAAATGATGTATTTTACATCAAGCAATATAAACTTTTATAAATTAGTGAAAACAAGGAAAAGACAAATTTCACTTTAATGTAGCTAGTCAAGGTAAATCTCAGGCCCACATCTGCCATTATATTGACAAAATATAAGGGGAAATCACATGGTGTTAACAATGAAAATATGGCATTTCCAAGAGATCATTGTATTAATTACCTGCTGTTCATACTGGAATATTATCTCCACAGTTCTACGCTCACAAAGTCTGAAAACACCTTACAGTTTGGTTTTGTATTTCCTTTCAAGTCTGTGAAAAGTGACAGTTTTTATTTGACATTTTTCTGAAAAGAGTTAACCAAGGTAAGTAGGCTCAACGTATAAACTTATGCATGATATTAAAAAATATTAAAAATTAAATTTTCTTGGTAAAAAATTATAATTAATTGCTTGCATTAGATATAGACAAAATATTTTTTTTCACTTAGTCACTTTCTGTTTTCTGTACTATATCAAGACCAAATATTATTTGTGTAAAACATTCATAAGTTATCTTATGAATGAAAAAGAGTGAATATGTTAAGTTTCTAGTCTGGTCATGGAAAATTTATATTACAAAAAAGAGACGTTGACAAAATAGTTTTTCATGTTGATCTTTTGTACTAGCCAACCGGTATCATTAAGCTGGAAAACTGTTCTCAAATAGCAGATTTAGGAACTGTTTAGTTCATCAAGGACAATTTATTTGGATATGTAATTACCAGGTATGAAACAGTTTTTTCATCTAGCAAAAGACCTGAGCAAGTCACTAACAACTAAAGATAAAATAAGAAATAAAGATTTTAGTTTTATTTTGTTTTCCTAACACTGAGGGTGATTAACTCCTGGAACAAATTAACTCAGTAAGTGGTAATTTCTGCATTGCCTATATTATCTGCAACAGAAATGGATTTTTTTCCCCCATGAAAGACCTGCTTGACTAATCCAAAGCTGACACAAAATCTGTTGCCGGAGATAAAGATGTGGGAACTCCCCTTTTCTGATAACTTATACTAAGTGTGTGATACTTGCATAGCACTTCCTTGCCAGTAAGGTTTGGATGGTTTAGATAAATGGCTCCTGAGTGGTGCCTGACACAAGTTACTTTGCTCAGAAAAAAGACATTAGATGAAATTTTATGTGCTTGTGTTTTATGGAGATCTAATAGTATGGATAACCTAGGGATTTCTTTAGTCTTAAAATTGATAAGTTTCTGTTAGCATCTTTAGGACATACAAGTACACTCAAGAAACAGAATTAAATCCTCCTGGAGTAAAAATATTCCTTTGATTAATTCCAAAAGTGGTTCTTTAGATTTTTAACCCCTCAAAAAAATCAGTCTTTTCTGCAGTATTGTAGTAAAAATAATTTTAACTGCATTCTTTTTAAGTCCAGGGATCACAATCTGTTTACACACAGCTAAGTCTGACTGTACCATATTTTATTTCATTTACTAAGCTTCAGCTTACTAAACTCCAGCTCGCTACTCCTTTTACAGCTCAGTAGAGTCATAGAGCCTGTTCAGGTGCTGCTAAACACATTCTGAAGACTGGAATAAAAAGGTATATATACTGAAAGCATCATTGATACAGGTAATCTTTACTGCTGATGGAAAAAAGACTACAGGATGGCATTAAAAAAACAAGGTAGGATTTACTCTTAGGAATTACTAAGAGAATTGATACTGGGCCTGTAAACAGGACAGGTTAAACACACACACCAAGGCAAGAGCAAGCTATTATACAGTTATTTTCACTATAAACCTTCAGGGTAAGAAAAAAATCTCTTTTCAAGGAAGTGTAGCTACTGACTACAAAAGCCCTACTCCTTACAGACTGATTATTTTTTAAAGAGAAAATTTTCTCCGGCTTGGGAATCTAGTAATTATTTGAAGAGGAAGGAAAGAAAGACAAGAGTACTTATCCTGGAAGAAAACAAAAACTCAAGTCCCTCTTTCTTGTCTTCCCTACCACTCTGTATGCCAGGCTCTTATTGCAGTGAGTTGTTTGGACGCTAAAACAGCTCCTAGACAGATAACCTTCACTCATGCCAAACTGCTCATTTTAAAGCCATGAATTCCTTAAGTCTAGGCTTACTCCTCCTTTGCACAAAACTATGGGAGGCTTTAAGGTGTCTCCTCTATGTCTTTAAACCCACCTGTACACTCAAAAGGCTCTTTCTAAGTAATGATATCAGGTCTAACTGTGCAGCTGGAAATGACTGGAAATCAAACTGTGATGCAGCAACTTGCAAAAGTTGAAAATGAGCAGTGCCTGTGAAGTCATGTTACAAGAAGTTCACATGACATCTGTTTCCAAGAGATACACAGACACAGTTCATGCACTTCTACAAGCCCACCAGTTTCTTGAAACGAAATGCATGTACCTGTACTGTAGTACACAGATCTTCTGTGCAGACTTTCACTAACAGAAAGTGGTTTACATAAGTATCTCCAAAACTATGGCTTTAACATGATGTCTTAAGGTGTTTAACTACAATGCATGAACTAGTGTGGCTATTCTTTGTAGTTCAGAATGGAAACCTAACTTAGATGCTCTGAAAGAGTTTGCCTTTCTGGACAAGTCAGAAGTTGGATAAATGCGGCTCTCTTTTTGAGTAAAAGAAAAAAAAAAAACAAAGGGGGAGAATCAATTAATACAATAGGAGAAAAATATTTTTATTCAAAATTATTAATTACATGCCATCCTTTGTGTATTGCAGGATTTTTCTTGCTCTGAAAACAAAGCGATTTTTATTTGTTCATCATCATGAACGTGACTTTTAGACAAAAAAAGTCTGTAAACCAGACATGTCAAATCCCTTTTCATAAGGAAGCTGCA